CAGAGCCCACTTGCGCACGCTGGGTGCCTGTGCCTCCAGCAGCCTGCGGTACACCGTGCAGTTGTTGCACACCAGCAGGATGGCTGCAGGGTACACGGCAGGGTGAAAGGCAATGTCCTTCCCCTCAGCACTGGAGGGGCCCTGGCTCTGTGGAGCCGGCAGCCGATCGGCACTGAGCACCTCTGGCAGCTTCGCACTGCAAAGCAGAGAGAGCAGTCAGAGACTCGGTGCTGACAGGAGCATCCTCACCTCAGACTGCCCGGGGGGCTTCCTAGAGCCCACGACAAGAGGCCTCTGCTAAATCATTCCTGCCCACAGACATGTCTAAGCATCTAAAATGAAGCTGTGTCATATCTAGGGGTCAGAAGCAGGTTATCTGGATTGGAAGAGTGCAAGAGTAGGTATTAGGCATCAAGTTGCTCCTCCCCATCACCTCTAGATTTCTCCTATTAGGTTTTTCTATTTCTCCTTTCTGTTCTATAGGACTGACCAGACCTATTCCTCTGGTCAGTGGTTAATCTTCCACCAGGCAGGACACAAAGAACATTTTCTTTGTTTACAGGTTTCTGCCTGTAGCCCTGCTCTGGAAATGACGAACCCACCTGGGCAGTACAGACCCACTCTGATGGAAGTGGCAAAGGAAGCAGTTGGTTGTTCTCCAGTGACTGGAGACCCCAGTGCTTTCTGCACAGTTCTAGTTCTTCATAGAGCAAAGGAACACCCTTCAGCAGCACAGCCCAGAGAGGTCTTAGCAGGTCATGCAGAGCTGCAGGCAGGAAGGGATCGAGGGAATCTTACTCACTGGGGGTGTTCAGTGGGTCCAGAGCCATGACTTCTGTGCCATTTAAGGCATTGCACCTAATCTCTACTGTGGGTACTCTAGCCCACTCCCCAGCCAGGGTGAGCCTGACCTGTTGAACGTGGCGTGGCTGGTGAAGCGTGCCCCGCACACCGCACAGTTGGACAGCTGGTCCTCTGAGTGGATCAGGAGATGCCGCCCAAGGGATCCCGGTGAGCTGAGGGCTCTGCCACACACAGGACACATGTAGCTCTTGGCGCTCACCACCGCCGCAGTGTGCTGTGAAACAACAACAAGGTGGCTCGTTACCCACTGCCCAGTCTGAGGCAGGCTTGGCAGATCCGGCAAACCATTCAGCTCAGCCTCTCGGAATGGGAACACTGTACCACTAAACTTCTGTCTGACAGCTCCTAGACCAAGCTCAAGACACCTGGGGTGTCACAGGTCAAACAGCAAGGAGGAAACCTTTCTACTGTTCCACTCTGGTACAAGAGAAACAATTAAGGCCAAAACACTTGGACCATAAGACCCTTGTTTTCAGAAATGCAACTGAGGAGCTGCTGTTGCTGCATAAAGCATGACTGGACTAACAGTAGGAAGGACACTGGTGAGGAAGCACTTAGATGGAGGCAGTCACCTGGTGCAGGTAAGTGGCCAATTCAGTTCTGCTTCATTCCTTCTTTTACAGACTTTGATGTGCTGTGAAGAGAGCACTGACAACAAAACCTGTGAGATTACAGCATGGTTTTCCTGCAATACTGGCATAATTTCAGAGGAAGAACAGCTGTTTTCATGGGTAGGAACTATGATAAAGGTACAAAATAAAGAACTGAGTGATTAGGAGGAAGGTTTCTTATCTCACTGAATAATGTAAAAATTGCCTCCATGTTTAATCTGAAGGAACTGCCTGGTCCTAGCCTGCAGCTACTTGCAGAGACTGCCTTGGGCTAGAGTTGTATTTTCAGATCTGCAGACTGGTGCCTTGC